TAAGCATAGTTCTATTCATTTGGTGTCTATCTTTTGTACAACCATTTAGAACTCACCACCTCCGTCTGAAAACATTTTCTCTCCCTTCTTTCATCTTTTTCATCTATGCATCCATGTCTCAGAGTTTTCTGTTTGATTATTAAGCTTGTCTTAATCAACCATTTTAGGAACTTGTAAATCTCAATCTCTTACTGTCCAGAAGGTCACTTTATTTTCTAGTGAGTGCTACCTGAGATTTACTCCAGCCATTCTGTGTTAATTAATCCTCTTATATCCTTTATCAAACTTATTGCATTTTTCAGGATGTTTGTTCTATCACTCTGATATGCCCCACATTAGATAGAACTGCCTAAATGTGAGTCTAACAGGTCCCTTTGAATGCTGAAGTAGTATTTCATGACTTCTGTTCAATAGTTGTCTTTATATTATTCAACTTTTTATTTCTTTTTTTTTTTTTTCTGCCTATTTTATATCTTTTTTTCTACCTCTATTTTTTGCCATCTCAGTTTTCTGTTGATGTAGTTTCATTAAATCAGTAGAATATCGTGTAACAAAAATGCCGCTACAGAGAAGAGGATCAGGTCATAGAGCTGTAATTCTCAAAATTGTGTGATTGCTTTTTCTTACTGCTGTGAAGCATGTCTCTATTTCAGATGTTGTGACAGTGAGGGCCTTAGAGTAGATCAGTTTCTCAAAGGAAATGAAATCAGACACAGAGGCTGAACATACTTTCTAAGATTTTCTTGTTTTGCCATACACACACAACAAATAACGAACAGAAAACTACAAACAAGCAAATTTCACATATGGTGAGTCTTGCTATCTCAGCAGTGCATTCAGCTGATAGGTTTGTTCTCCAGTCTTGGTTGTATCTGTCTTAAGTGTTCATCAAACAGCTGCTATGTCTTGCCTTATCTGTTATATGGTGGCATATATTGTCGTTATATTTAAGCAATCCCTACTCAGTAGCCATTAACACTCTTTTGTAGCTATTCTGCAATACAGAGGAACTACTTGACAGTTTGGAGAAATTGCATCTGGTTTAGTTACTCTGTAACCTACGTTGCCATTTGCAGAGAAAGTATCTAACCTATGCAGTCTATTTAGTGAAAGCTTATCTTATTCCAAACACTTTTCTGTAGTGGGATGTACAGGACATTTTTGAATACTATTTTCCTTGCATTTCATCATTATTATTATTATTATTATTATTTTTAATTGTGAGTTTCCTATAAAATGTGTGAACATACAGACAAGCTAAGGTAAAGGAGCATTCCATTTATTATCCTAATGCAGCACCCTAATTCATAGAGTATTGTTAATTTATACAAAAATCGAAGTATAATCTGGTCTTTTCGTTAAGAAGGAGGTTCTTTCTAAATAATACAGATTGTGTAGCCTAAATAAATGTCAGATCTAACGTTCTCCAGATGGTGAAAGATGTATAGATGCAAGGAAAATGGAAAATATTTTTCTGTTCTTTACATTTCAACATGTACATGTTTTCTACTTCTGACTAAATTATTTAGGCTTGTGGCAATCGAATGTACTTGATTAGATCATTATAATCTCTCTGGTTACCAAAGAAAAGTGCAGAGCTACAAAAGGATCTGTCATTTATTTAGCTTCTAATATTGTGTTGTGTTGTCCATGGTGTTTAAAAAAAAAAAAAAAAAAGTCTGTTCTGGTATTTCCTGTACTTAATCCATTTGGTTTGGTGTCCCTCCAGAAAGGAAAAAAATCATTTGTATTCTCTTTTAGTCATCATTTATTGTGAAGGGGTTTATTAAAATAGCCTTGACTATGCTTTAATGGAGTAGTTACCATTATGGAAGCTTTACAGTTTTGATCGTGGGAATTACTTGTAGGTATAAATAATATAGAAACCAATTTTGTGTATAAACAGTCATAGCATAGTCAGTCTTCCCTTAGCTAAACCCTTTTACTTGGCTCCCACTGATACTTTCCTTTTTCAGAATGACAATGTAAGAACATAAAAGCATGAAGGAGACTTCATGCTGATCCATAGTGCCTTCCTCCTCAGGTAGTCCAGAGGAGGGCAACTAAGATGATCAGGGGGCTGGAGCACCTCCCCTATGAGGACAGGCTGAGGGAGTTGGGCTTGTTCAGCCTGGAGAAGAGAAGGCTGCGGGGTGACCTCATTGCAGCCTATCAATACCTGAAGGGAACCTACACCCAGGAGGGGAGTAAACTCTTCAAAAGGGCTGATAACAGCAGGACTAGGGGAAATGGTTTTAAGTTGAAGGAGGGAAGATTTAGGTTGGATGTTAGGGGGAAGTTCTTTACTAGGAGAGTGGTTAGGCCCTGGAATGGGCTGCCCAGGGAGGTTGTGGATGCCCCGTCCTTGGACGTGTTTAAGGCCAGGTTGGACGGGGTCCTGGGCAACCTGATCTGAATGTGTATGTTTGGTGGCCCTGCTAGGCAGGGGGGTTGGAACTACATGATCCTTGGGGTCCCTTCCAACCCGGGTGATTCTGTGATTCTGTGATTCTGTGATTCTGTGATTCTGTGATTC